CCAAATCATTGTATTTTGGACATTTGTATTCTTCAATATTAAAAATTCTATCATTCGTCGTCAACATTTTTAAAAATTGTTTTTCTGTTGAACCACCTTTGTATGCGATCACTTCGTCTTTGCACAAATTTACCAATTAATATGGGAATGATTCTCTTGTTTGTAGGCACATTTTAATTCTTCGGTCGCATCAAAATATGGAATGCCGTACACGTGTGTTTCACAATAACGAACAGTTTTTTGTCTTTTGGCGACAAATAATTGAAAGGATAACTTGGCCGAAACAAATAATGATCGATAAACGCATCATTTTTATTAGATATAGTTTTACGTCTAGAATAGCCATTTCTCTACATTGAAAATGTTTATGAGGATATGTAATGTAAAATCCGTCCATGTCGATGATGTATCTAATATTTTTTAGATTTTGTGTCATTTTGAACCAAAATGTTAAAAGTATTTACACGTGACTAAAAATATGTTTGTTCTAACAAACTTCACATAACAATGCTTCATTACTTCCCATCATCCCATTTCTTCCTTCTGCTCTTGTCTTCCTGTAATTTAAGTAAACAGAATCACATTCACTAATGATCAACTAATGACTGTCATTGTTAAAAAAAGTATTTTTTAACTACTCTAGTATTCGTAGATGCGGTACACACACAATATTTAAATATAATTTGTTAACACTAAATCATACACACGTAAGAAAATAACAGAAAGAAAAGTAAGTTTGTCAATAGAATAAACACTTAAAATTGCAATTAACAATTTAATTGGTGCCGGCGGGGATCGAACCCGGGTCGCGTACTGTGAAATTTACAACTTGCGCTAACCATCTGAGCTAACACGGCTTAATCATATACACACACAATATTTAAATATAATTTGTTAACACTAAATCATACACACGTAAGAAAATAACAGAAAGAAAAGTAAGTTTGTCAATAGAATAAACACTTAAAATTGCAATTAACAATTTAATTGGTGCCGGCGGGGATCGAACCCGGGTCGCGTACTGTGAAATATACAGCTTGCGCTAACCATCTGAGCTAACACGGCTTAATCATATCACACACAATATTTAAATATAATTTGTTAACACTAAATCATACACACGTAAGAAAATAACAGAAAGAAAAGTAAGTTTGTCAATAGAATAAACACTTACATCCATGGCCTTTGATGCGTTGAAGTAACACAAATGTAGTATTGATAGATCCACTGCGGTCAAGCGACCATATACTAACTCCATGACTGCACTTGCTTGGTCTTATATAGTACCAGAAATTAATAACTTTAATCTAAAGAATTTCTGCAGTGGAATTGATAGTAACTTTATGCGTCAACAAGCTTATCTCACATTTTGTTGCTTATCTCAACAATACTTCGTGTTGCGTCTTGTTCAGTGTATTGATGACTCAAATACGTTTTGTATAACACAAAATAATGCAATTTTATTTAGAAATCACTATAATTGATCATTCCTATGTTAGTCATTGAGTAGATTGTACTGTAATAATCTACTAATAGCAGTAATATCATGGATACACTAGATGTACAACAACATCTGAAAAAGATTCACCCCAGTCTAGAAAATAATGTTTATGCTGCCAATAGACTGCCCATGTACACCCACGTGCCAACGTATATAATATGCAATTTGGATACAGATGATAATATACTTATAATATATAATAACCCAGGGTCACATTGGGTAGCTTTATATATCGATACGAATGACGTCGGTCAATATTTTGATTCATACGGACGAGCACCTGTACGATATCATCTAGAGTTTTTAAAAAGGAATTGTAAAAGATGGAACTGGAATGTTGATAGGATTCAGAATGAGTGGACTTCAGTTTGTGGCGAATATTGCTTAATGTATTTGCTATATAAGTTTCAGAGATGTTCAATGCATACTTTTACGAGTATATTTACAGGGAACACATTGTACAACGATATTTTAGTGGATGAGATGTTTCGCCCCTATTTTATAGATAATAGGTAATAAGATTTTGTATTTCGTAAATAAAAATTGTAACAAAATTAGGTAATGTGTTTTATTGATGATTCAGATTAGTGTTGTAGATAGGAACAAAGGAGTAAATACAATAGCAATGATAAGCCGACGCACACGCTGACGAATAATAGATAATGACGGTATTCAATGAGCAATAGATAAGAACAATGAAGCTCTAATGACGGTGGAGGCTCTCACCGGATATCAATTAGATAAGAGTTAATTGATCTGCACATCTCTGGAACCGTGCATCCTACGCAAAAATGGACCGCAGATTCGTGATCAGAGAATGCCAAAATTATTTTCTTTTTTTTAGGATCGTGAGTCGACGAACATTGTACTCGTACCACTTCTGACACAGTGAGCCAGAACTGGTACTAACTAACTACTCTGGTTCTACTGCGGATATCCTCATTTCTAAGTTTATCACGCAGAGTAACCCCGAGCCTAGCCCTCTCAATAACTCGTTGAGCGACTTTGAGCATCCTCATACGGCCAGCAGTGAAGGAACACGTCTCAGCTCCATATGTCATCACTGGCAACATACACTGGTTGTAAAGTCTCGTTTTCAGGTTTTAAGGTATAGCTGACGAGAAGATGTGTCGTAATTTCCCGAACGCTGCTCGGTCGAGTTGAATCATTCGATTGACCTCTCGGTCAAAGTTGGACTTACCTAGTCGGACTATTTGTCCCAGGTAAACGTACTCGTCAACATCTTCAAGCATAGTGCTCCCAACAACTACAGGCGTAGGTGTGACATGGACATTAAACGTGATCTTTGTTTTATCCACGTTCATCTTAAGACCTATCTGTTGGGAGACACTATTGAGGTCATTAGGCATGGTGCTTAGGTCCTCCAGCGATTCTGCTATAAGGACTATTGTCGGCAAATCGAAACTGAATGACATACTCCATACTCGCCATTGATGTTAATACCGTATCCTTTCCAGTCCAACAGCTTGAAAACGTTTTCCAATGCAGCGGTGAAGAGTTTCGTGGATATAACGTCACCCTGGCATACACCTCTCTGCAGTTATCGCACTCTGGTTCTGTATTCGGATAGTCCTCGTAGCCCTACTGTACAAAAACTTCAGCACTTCGATATACCGACAGTCCACTTGGCACCGCTGAAGGGACTGTAGCACCGCCCAAATTTCGACGGAATCAAAGGCTTTCTCATAGTTAACAAACGCCAGGCAAAGTGGCAGATTGTACTCTTCGGACTTTACAATTTACCGAAGGGTATGTAAGTATGTGGTTTATGGTGCTAAAGCCTTTTCGGAAACCGGCTTGTTCGGAGGCTGGAAGTCGTAGAGTGCGAAACGATTGGTAATAACTCTCGAGAACAGCACGTCAACATTATTTATCAACAGTAAATACATTTAAATTAGTTAGCTTACACATATAAAAACAACACACTTGCTCCGCGGCGCGCTCATTGGTCAAATAGCAAATCAAATAGCGCGCGCTTCCCCGGCTTCCTGCGTCACAATTCCGTCCCTTTTCACGGAATCACTCCCACAGATTGCAGGAAAGCGAGACAAAAGATGTTACACATCAACATGTCCATTACTTAGTCGATACAGCACGAAACGTGATTAAATGAAATCCACAAAAATAATTTCCAAGTAATTTAAAACAGTTTAGCATGCAAATAAAATCGAAATGACTTGATAATTAAGTAATTTAAGTAATTCTTAAGCAGTCTTTTGTTTAATAAATAATTGTTTTATTTCATTATTCATAAGTGCGAGCGCTAGACTGCGTAATATATGAGATATAATATAATATTTCTTTACGTGGTAGAGCTAAGTTGCAGTTATATTAAAAGTATAGTTGCAGCACGAATGGGTCGGCTCGACCGTGGAAGGACCACGCTCTCACAGAATACCAGCGTAAAATAGTAGCTTAATGCTGCCGTGTTTCATATGGTGAGTGTAGAGAACCGGAGACCCTTTTTACTGGAAACGAAGCATTCCAGCTTACTCCTCACGGATGACATCGCATCTGCATTTTGATTCGTAATCGAGGATAGATGTAGATGTCTATGGGCCACAGCAACCACTTACTATTAGGTGGACTGTGTGCTCGTTTGTCACGCTATTCTATAAAAAAATTAATATTATTAATAATAACATTAATTTTTTATGGGGTATCTATATAGTTTTCTCATAGATTAATTTTTATTGTTATTAATATTATTAATAATAACATTAATTGTTTTTTCGCTTTAGACTATAATAATATATTATAGTCTAAAGCGATAATATATATTATAATTTCTTATACATAGCGCTGTTAATAACATTTACCAGAGGATGCGTCACGTTGTTTACACGAGGACATGCCTTTTTATAAACGTAGCAATCACAGTCCTCTACCTCATCTTTTGTGTTTTCATTCTTTTTAGTCCCGCTCATAACGCAGTCCTCTTCTATTTCATTATCGTGATAGGGTAGAGAAATATCCTTTTTTACATTTTGACTATTGTGGTTCTGCACTAAATTATTGCTATAAATTTTACTGTCAAGTTTGAAGGATTGGATCCATTGAGTACAATGAAAAACAAAACTTTTGTGTTATTTCATACCAGGTTCAAAAAAATTAGCACCTTTAATATTATCTTACAAATGTATACAGTCAAAAATTAAAGCACACTATGATATCTGGAGCTTAAAAAAATCGATTTTTAAGTAAGGTAAGTAAGGGTTTCTCCTGATTCTGTAATTACACGAATCGCATTACATGAATATAAACTCTTACTGGCTGATTAATCAAAGTTTTATCATAAATATGTCAATTTATCTAAACTGTCAACTTTTATGACAAATTCATAGTCAAGCTCGAAAATGTTGAAAATTTTGTATTTGTCAATATTACCTTTTTTCCAAGTTGCTTTATTATAACGTCAACGAAAAAGTGGAGAAACGTGGTGAAAATAGCGAGAAAAGGAGGCGGGAGTTAATTTTCAATGGTGCTCGCTTCTTGGGCAGTACTTGTAAGTGCCGCTTTAGTGGGTGTAGTGAGAGGTGCACAATACGGTGATTACGCCGCAGCTGAGATGCCGCATTATGGTTCGGAGGAGTATCACGAATCCGCTCGAGAAGCTGCTCCAGCTGTTGATGAATACAATGATCGCTCACCCGAAGCACCTGCCTCTCCAGATTACAAATATGAGGAGCATTTAAATTCGCGAACCGCGAATATGAAAACTGAGGACAGCTGGCAAAAATCAACTTTAAAACCGTCAAGAGTTCAAAGGCTGAACCTAAGAGCACACGTGGATCGAAATAAAATTAAATCAACTTTTTACCAGCGAAAAAAATCCAGGAGTTCTGTCAAAAAATCTGACATTATTGAGAAACAGTTGAGAAATGGGAGAATACGAAGTAACGATATTATTGATAAAGAGGAAGACTTTGTAGGTGACGCTAGGTATCAAGATCGATTTGAGGATGATAAAGTTTATACAAGAGCTACCACTGAGCGAGTTGTAAGACGAAAAGCACGAGACAGGTCTTTTGGAAGTCCTGAAATTGAAACTGAGAATGATGAATCAGAAGATGACGATGATGATGAAGAACTAAAAAATGAACACAGTCAGGTAAAGGATGTTGAATATTCTGTGAAAGAGGAATCAGTTGCTTTACCTGTAAAATCAGAAGAATCTAAACAGTTGGATACAAATGAGGAGACCGAAGCCTTTCGCCAACAATCTCCCATACGTACCGATGACGACCTCGTTTCTCGTTTAGAAGCCAAAAAATTAGACCAAAAGACAGAGAACCAATATCAAGATTATTATGACATGAAACGAGTTAATAATATTAAGAAGAAAATTACTGTCCTATATCGTCGAACAAAAGGTAAGAGGGCATCATTGTTAACTACATATCTTATACTTGCGATTCCATTTGCACAAAAGAGACAATGAAATTAAACAAATCTAAATGAAATATAACGTTTATAATATTTACTAAATAGTTGTTGCTAATCACACGATTATCGTGTGATTAAAAATAATTATTCATACGATATTCAGAGAGTTCAATTCTTTCAATATTATACTTTTTATCATTATGTTTTCGGGTGGCCGAAGAACCATCCAGCCGGACCTTAACCTCCTATCACTAATATTGCTAGACATGTGTAGTGTTCAGATATGGTGTATGTAATGTTCAATTGCCTAAAACTATTAAAAAAAATGTTGTTATTTTTTAATTTAAAATGTTTAAAAATGATCGATTATCGTATGAATAGACACTTTCTTACTAAATTCATCATAATTTATGACATGGACTGATTTTTAAAGATTCAAAGTTTTTTAACAATCCAGTCAATTAAAATCTGTTTCAATCGCGAAAGTAGATGTGTTTTTTAAGTTCTTTAATACTAAAGTGTCAAAGTTAAATAGTGGCTGATAAGAAGACTAACAATTGGCTTGTGTGTGTGTCTGCATAGCAAGAGCTACGGGTTCGACAACGTCGCGTCGGTATCAAGTGTGGACGTACCGACGCTCCTACGTGTTAGACAGATATCCTATCGCCACAATTAATGATGATGACATCCCGACCAGAACTACTACTATAATAAAAAATAAAAAAATTAATAAAACAAAAACTAGAATTAAGTCAGCTGTGACCAATATCACAGAGACGGTGCCACCTACGACTGCTAGAATAACGACTAAGGTATTAACAACAAAAATAATTACAACTTCAGCTAAATCTATTGAGAGTACGACTACTGATTTGTCTTTAGCGGAGAAGTCCAGATTGTCAATTTTAAGAAAAGCACAGCTGAAAGAGAGTTTGATGGATAAAAGTGCGACAGTCAAGCCACCAGTACTGATGCAGGTAACGCGGAAGATGAATACCGTGGTAATGGTCGAGCCGCCTAAACAGAATCTCAATATGAATCTGATGGGCAATTTAGGGGGACTAATAAGTGATTCACCCGAGCGTTTGGCTCGCGCTAAAAGACTTATGAGGCGTAAGTTGATAGCCGGAGCACGCAGTATCCATGATCTGACTGACAACTGGGATGAAATGGTTTGCGATTACTTGGACGTGACACAACTAGATGGCGCGATGAAAAATCATATTAGTACATCTCTCATTTTGCTAACACTGTTACAGCTTCTATTTTAAAGAGTACTTTGATTGTGTATTTTTTTACATCTAATATATTTCACTATTGTATATGGGCTTTTATACTGATTAAAAAAAATTACTGATATTTTTTATTAAAATATTTTACACACTTAAATACGCGGTGTTATTTTATTAAATAATCTGATATGCCTATAGCAAGCAAAAAAGACATTTGTTATTAATTTACTAATTGTAAATTTTGGCTTTACCTTTTCGATATTCTTAAATAAATATAGTACCTACGGGTAATAAGATCTAGCTGAGGGAAATGCGAATAAAAGTTTAACAAAAATATCCAATATGGTCTACAGATTTTAATAAAAATCATTGGCTTAATACAGTTTCTATAAAGTATGAATGAAAAGTTGCAACATTTGTCACAAAGAAAAACAACATTAAACATTTCTAAAAACCTTGCTAGTAGGCCTTATTTTACTACGGTAGGGTAATAAGGCCTACTGCTTTAACGAACTCAAATAAAATATACGTAATACATTTAATATTTGTGATTAATAATCACATGAATGTAGCAATTAAGATTTAAAATTTTAAAACAAATAAAAATTTCCTGGCATTTAAAGTCATTAGTGTAATCATGAACAAACAGACGAACAAACAAACTCGTCGCGATTATCATCAGCGTGTCGGTTGTTTCGAGTTGAGATGAGTAACGGTTGAGTTGAGAGTTGGGTCGATTGTTGTGTTGAGTGTCCTCCCAACCAAATTATTGCCACAGCCGCCAGGAGACTAGCTTATCTACGCAATACAGAATTTTAGTGTCCGAATGTATGCACAGGTACAGGTGTACTCTCTTTCTGATCACAACAATCAAAATGCAATCCGACATGGTCCGAAAGAGCTTAGGCACGGGACCAATAATTTACACATTATATAATAGTATCTAATGTCAAAGCCGTAATTCTTCCACACACTTTATCTGCACTGTTTGGATAGCTGAAACCAGTTCGTTTTCTGACTACTACATTAGATTAGTATTAAAAGAGTACGATTTATATATATTTATAACATTTAAAGTGATATAAAATATTGTAGATGCTCGTGTGTGAGAATGTTAGTAATGGAGCGGGTTATGCTGGCGGGATGTTAACTGGAGAGCATGCAGTAGCAGTTAGATGAGCAATAAATAACACTTCTTCAGAGTTTCTTCTTATTTATTTTCTTGATTCCTTACTCTTACATTGCAGGATTTGGAATTTTTTACCACAAAAAACGCCTCTTTTTTATAGGCAGCTGTGACCAATCAGAATTAATAGATTTTGCACACGGCACTAATGAATTTGCACACGGCACTAATGATTCCCGTCGACCAATCAGAGCGCAGAACGACCTTTTCTAAAGGAAATTTACAAATTTCTTTAATATGTGTGGTAAAACATACCTTACAATATTTTTATACATTCCTGATAATAGAGATAACTTATCTTTACTATTTCGAACATTAAACATTCATAAAACTCTTAATTTATGCTTGTACAAAATAAAAATAGTGGCGCGGTATTCCTTTGGTGTAGCTCCGGAGTAGCTAAGCTTTTTCCGCTATTAAGCGGCTGGCGTCGCTACTTGTATATTAATACAAGTAGCCCCGCCAGGCGGCAGGAATGCACAATGCTTATCATGATAATATTATGCTTAAGATTCTATACAGAATATATTTTAACTTCTTACTAAATTAAAATCTACTTTTATAATGAGAAATTAGATTACAAAAGTGATTAATTGATATATTATCGTTTTAAATTACTATAAAAGAAAAATAATTAAACAGATCATTAAATTTACACTTAAATATTAATATCTCTAATACAGCTCTTTAAAATTATAATAAGAGAAAGTTCTAATAAGTAACTAAACTCTTATTTTGTTTCTAACATTCTAATTAAACCTAAATAAGCAATTAGATTCATATTTTCGTTACAGACTTTGTTACTAACTTTCGTTACGCAATTTTAAAATAAGAATTGAAGCTAATATAAGTAATTAATTCACTTTCTTGGTATTAACGCTATTAGTCTTTATACTTAGTTTAAATCACAAATAAGAAACAATTGAGATTAAACGTTTAAATTCACTTGTCATTGCTAACACTTAGCTTTAGATCACAAATAAGAAACAATTGAGATTAAACGCTTAAATTCACTTGTCATTGCTAACACTTAGCTTTAGATCACAAATAAGAAACAATTGAGATTAAATGTTTAAAATTCACTTATCGTTGCTAACATTCTCCCCCACGGTGCGTAGCACTTCATCTTCTGGAGGCGACGGTTCTGCTGGTATCAGCACGATGACACGTCGAGTTGGACGGCGAAGTATTCCACCTGATGTCCGCACGTCCAGTACCCTGGTTCTTCCGTCTGATCCGGGATAGGTCTTGATAACTTCTCCGCGAGGCCATGAGTTTCGTGGTAACGTAGCGTCCACTATCAACACAATATCTCCTTCTCTTGGGTCTCTGGTTTCTCTCCTCTCGAGTTTCCTTGGCATCAGGAGAGGTAAATATTCTTTAATCCATCTTTTCCAGAAGTGGTCTGCGAGTCTTTGAGTGGTCCTCCAGTTTGCTTTTCCGATGAGCTCCGTGTCACTGAACTCTCCCGGCACCATCGCTCCGCATGATCTTCCCAGTAGAAAGTGGTTCGGTGTTAGGCTCTATTCGTCTACTGGGTCCATGCTGATCGGGGTGAGAGGTCTCGAATTGACGATATGTTCAACCTCTGTCATTAGCGTATGGAGTACCTCCTCGGGCGGGCTCTTCTCGTTGAGGACTACTGCTAGCGCCGTCTTGACTGTTCGTACAAGTCTCTCCCAGGCGCCTCCCATATTCGGAGCACCCGGGGGGATGAACTTCCACTTGATGCCTTTTTCTTGTGCGGCCTCTTCTAATTCCTTTTTTGCCCCGACGAAGTTAGTTCCGTTGTCGCTGAATATAGTTTTCGGGGTCCCTCTTCTGGCTGCCATTCGTCGGAGTGCCATGATCATTGAGCTAGTGCTAAGAGAAGGTACTAGCTCTAGATGTACTGCTCTAGTGGTGAGGCAGGTGAATAAAGCTCCCCAGCTCTTCTCAATTCTTCTTCAGATGGTGACTTGCATCGGCCCGAAGTAGTCTACGGCTGTGCAGGAGAACGGAAACTGATGATGCTGTAGTCTCTCGCTCGGTAGATCTCCCGTCGGGGGTATCTCTGGTGAACTCTTCTTTGTCTTGCACCATTGACAGCTGTGTGCGACCGCTTTTAAAGTCGCTCTTAAACCCAGGATCCAGAACTTTTGACGAATTTCGTTCATTACTGTAGCAGTGTTTCCGTGAAGGAATTTCTTATGATAGTATTGTATTATTAAACGGATTATTTTTTGTTTCCCGTCTAATACGATAGGATTCATCCTTCTTTCGTTTTGGTCGTGGAATTTCATTTTCCTACTCCTTAATTTGATTTGATTATGCGCGTGGCGGCGTGGTCGCTTTACGGCTCTTCTTTAATAGGTAGTGTGCAAAGGCAACCACTCTGGCTGTAGTGCGCAGCAGTCGCTCTCGATTTAATAGCTTTCCCGCTTTCCGGATTTAAAAGGATGTCTTCTGCTGCCATAGTTGCCAACGCCTCCTGTTTGTGCTTTTCTTTTGGCATAATGCTCTCTGGTTTGAAGTCGTGAAACGGCCATTCTTCTTCTGGTGGGCGGAGAAATGACGGGCCATTGAACCATCTAGCGTTGTGGTCGAATTCGATTGGGATTCCCCTCGTGGCGTCGTCTGCTGGATTCTCCTTAGTTGGTACCCATCTCCAGTCTTCTGGTTTGGACTTCTCTTCGATCTCGGCGAGTCGGTTGGCCACGAAAGTTTTGAATTTTCTTGGTTCTGACTTTATCCACTGCATTAATGTGCTGGAGTCGGTCAAATAAATCTTTTTTGATATTTCGAGCTCCGACTCCTCTTCAATTGTAGCGGCTAGTCTGCTTCCGGGTAAAGCCGCTTGTAGCTCTAGCCTCGGAATTTACACTGGTTTCGTCGGCGTTACTCTTGCTTGCCGGCGATCATGGAGACATGGATTTTTCCTCCGGGCTCGACTATTCTCCAGTAGACTACTGCTGCATAGGCCTCTTCACTCGCATCGGTGAATGTATGTAACTGTCCTTTTCTGCCTTCGTGTGCGACGCATCTTGGGATCTTCAGCCTTGTTAATGTTGATACTTTCTCTAAGTATTTCATCCAGGCTTCCTTTTGTTGTTCGTTAATTGGTTCATCCCAGTCTATTTTCTTTCGCCAGATGTCTTGGATTGGTTTCTTTCCTTGTATTAGAACCGGTGTTGCAAAACCCATTGGATCGAAGGTGGACATCACTGCGCTTGTGACTTCTCTCTTCGTTGGAGTTCTTCTGCCATCTTGCAGGTCCTCCGGCGTGTTGCGTAACCCGACGTTGAAGGCTAATGCATCTTCTTTCATCAGCCATCTTAGTCCCAGAGTCTTCTCTTCCTTGGTCAGTTGTAAAGAGTTTTCTTTATTGGTGTCTTCTACTTCTGATATTGCCCCTGAATTGTTACTGGCCCAACCCTTCAGATGAAAGTTTGCTCTTGCGTGGATGTCTTTCACTTCTTTAGATATCTTCTTTGCTTCAGTTGTAGACGCGAAGCTCTGCAGATAGTCGTCCATGTAATGGTTTCTCTTAATTGCTTTCACTGCTTCGGGATGAGTGTTCTTAAATTCCTCTGCGTTCTTATTCATTACGTATATCGCTGTTGCCGGTGATGACGCTGCTCCAAAGATGATTGAAGACATTCTATACTCTTCAGGATTGCCAGTTCTTCGGCTTCCGCGCCACAGGAACCTGAGACTGTCTCGGTCGTCCTCTCTAACTTTGACTCGGAGGAACATGTCTTGTATGTCGGCCGTGACGGCTACCGGTCCCTCTCTGAAGCGCAACAGTACTCCAAATAGCGATTGTAACAGATCTGGGCCCGAGAGCAAGGCGTCGTTGAGGCTCTTTCCTTCGTACTTGGCAGCTGCGTCGAACACTATTCTCAGCTTCTTCTTAACTGGATGCACAACAGCGAAGTGGGGTAAGTAGAATGTCCTTCCTTTGTTGGAGGTTTCTAGAGCTATCTCTGCGTATCCCTTTTCGATCAGACTCAGGATCTACTCCTCGTAGTGCTTTCTTGCTTCTTGGTCTTGATCTAGATTCTTTTCGATGCTACCAGGCGTCGGACTGCTTGATTGTAATTGTTGGGTAGGGTTTCGTCTTCTTTTTTCCACAGGAGTCCCGTTTCATATTGACCGCTTGGCAGTTTCTTTGTAGTCTTCTCGAGGGTTTCTAATGCTCTTCTATCGCTGTCGTTGGATGGCGACCGATTCTGGATCCCGAGAGATTCTAGCTGAAAGTGTTCTCGGACAATTGCTTCTATGTTTTCTTCGCCAGTGGTCGCTCTGCCATAATGAGTGAAGTTTACTGTGGCGGTTGCCTGTTCTTCCTGTTTCACATCCGTGTAACACCCACCCTAAGTTTGTTAGGGAGGCTACAGGATCCGACGGTTTGCCCTTCTTCAGCTTTCTTGTCACTATTAGTCCCCAATTGTCTTGGCCTATTTGTAGCTTGGGTCTCTCGGTGACGTAGAGGAGTTGGCTTTCAATTACTTTCAGATGCTCGCAGTTTCTCACGGTGTCCTTGTTTATGCATTGTTCAGACAGCTTCAGATCGTCGATGGTTCTTGCTACGATAGTCCTCTTTTCTTTTCTATGAGCCTCTTTTATTTTGAACTCGATTTTCTGTGAATTATCTTTTCTTAACACTTTCTCGCCGACGGTTCGATTGTAAGTTTTTGTTGCTTCCCTTCAACTCCGATTTTCTCAGCAATTGATGCGTCTAAGAGCGTGACCGTTGACCCTTCGTCTAGTAGTGCTAATACGCGAACTTGTCCTTTTGGGCCATAGAGGTTCACTGGGATCATTTTCAGGTAGGCCTTTTCTTCTCCCTTGGCGTTATGAATTGAGGCGACTTTTTCTTCTGATGTGCTACTGATATTTTTTGCTTCTTTTTCTATTGGTGCTGGTGGTTTGTCAGAATGCAAGACGGTATGATACCATCTTTTACACAGCTTGCAGACTGGGGCTTTGCAGTTGATCCTTGAGTGCTTGAATCGAAGGCACTTGAAGCATATCTTTGCCTTCTTGGTCATATCCCATTTCCCATTCAGGTTGGCTTCTTTGAACTTCTTGCATTCTAGTGCGAAGTGTTCTTCCTCGCAGAACGGACATGACTTCTTATATTTTTCTTTTGACGCTTCTTGTACCAAATGGACGGAATTTCTTATTCCTCTTCTTTGTTCTGATGATGCTTCAGGCGGAGCGAAGTCTCCGCACATGTCGGCTTCTGTTTCTAGGAACGCTTCGACGAGTAATAGCTCCTGAATTTCTTCATCTCTTCTGCTTCTGTGGTAGGCAAACCAACCGAACTTCATTGATGTCGGCATCTTGTCTACAATAACTCTCAGCGTTTCAGGTGAACTGAGATACTGCGATTTTTTCAGGGCTTTGATTGTCTCAACTGCGTTCTTTACTTTGCTCGCAAATATGCATATGTCGCTCGGGTTCTCGCCGACTATTGGGAGGTTCTTCATTTTTTCTACTTCTGCTAATGCCAGTGCTCCAGGTCTTCCGAATCTTGCTTCTAGTCCCTTGATTACTTCGCGTGGGTCTTCGGCGGTGAACAGCAAGCTTTGGACGGCTTCTCTAGCTTTTCCTTAGATTGCTATTCTAAGGCGCGCTAGGTTCCGATTGTTACTGAAAGAAGTGGCCATATCCTCGTATGATCTTTTGAAGGCCAACCACTCTTCACAGGCCCCGTTGAAGTGAGAGAATTCGAGGTGCTTCGGTGAAATGGTGTCACGTGACTTTTCGGATAGCTTTAGTATAACTGAAGCTAGTTCCTGGATGTCAATCTTCTTTTCTTCTGCCTCTATTGGTTTGTGGTTCTTATTAGGCATGTCTCCGGTCTTGATGAACCACCGCCCGACTTCTCGAGTTCGTTCGAACAGCTCTTCTCCGGCACCATCTTCTTCTTCTGACTCCGCGGTGAGAAGTTCTAATTCCGCTTGAGCAACTTTTGACCGAGCTTCTGCCAGTTCTAGTTCCCTTAATTCCATTGTCATTTTTGCTTGCACTTCTGCTCTCTTCCTATGTGACGAGCGAACGGAAAGTGTATCTGGATCGCAGGTTGTCTTCTTAGGGTTAGGCTGCTGCAGACTCTTTTCTCTGGACGTTGGTATGCTTCCCTCGTTCAGACATGTCTTCACTGCGATACTTTTTTCTTGAATCTGCGGCGTTGGATGACTCTCTTCTTGGTGAGGAACTGACGCTTCGACGGTGCGGGTCGGGGGGGTGGTATGGGTTACGTCCCCCGGTGTCGATTCCTTTCCGGCAATGTTCTTAGTAAGAAGTACGGGTTGTCTGTGTACGCTGCTGGTCAATCGATCTGATGTTGACGTGTTCGTAGCCATCGTGCTTGTAGATTACGTAGTACTCGGCGTATTCATGCTCCAATCCGTCGTACTGGTACCCGTAGTAGCGTTACTTTCACTCGTAGTCTTCGACTGCACTGATTTTGATCTTGTATTTGAAGGCATCTTCCTAGTTTTTCTTTAAACCCGATCCGGTTTTCGAAGGACCAATGTAGATGCTCGTATGTGAAAATGTTATTAATGGAGCGGATTATGCTGGCGGGATGTTAACTGGAGAGCATGCAGTAGCAGTTAGATGAGCAATAAATAACACTTCTTCAGAGTTTCTTCTTATTTATTTTCTTGATTCCTTATTCTTACATTGCCGGATTTGGAATGTTTTACCACAAAAAACGCCTCTTTTTTATAGGCAGCTGTGACCAATCAGAATTAATAGATTTTGCACACGGCACTAATGAATTTGCACACGGCACTAATGATTCCCGTCGACCAATCAGAGCGCAGAACGACCTTTTCTAAAGGAAATTTACAAATTTCTTTAATATGTGTGGTAAAACATACCTTACAATATTTTTATACATTCCTGATAATAGAGATAACTTATCTTTACTATTTCGAACATTAAACATTCATAAAACTCTTAATTTATGCTTGTAAAAAATAAAAATATTGGCGCGGTCTTCCTATGGTTTAGCTCCGGAGTAGCTAAGCTTTTTCCGCTATTAAGCGGCTGGCGTCGCTACTTGTATATTAATACAAGTAGCCCCGCCAGGCGGCAGGAATGCACAATGCTTATCATGAATATTATGCTTAAGATTCTATACAGAATATATTTTAACTTCTTATTAAATTAAAATCTACTTTTATAATGAGAAATTAGATTACAAAAGTGATTAATTGATATATTATCGTTTTAAATTACTATAAAAGAAAAATAATTAAACAGATCATTAAATTTACACTTAAATATTAATATTTCTAATACAGCTCTTTAAAATTATAATAAGAAAAAGTTCTAATAAGTAACTAAACTCATATTTTGTTTCTAACATTCTAATTAAACCTAAATAAGCAATTAGATTCATATTTTTGTTACAGACTTTGTTACTAATTTTCGTTACGCAATTTTAAAATAAGAATTGAAGCTAATATAAGTAATTTATTCATTTTCTTGGTATTAACGCTATTAGTCTTTATACTTAGTTTAGATCACAAATAAGAAACAATTGAGATTAAATGTTTAAATTCACTTGTCATTGCTAACACTTAGTTTTAGATCACAAATAAGAAACAATTGAGATTAAATGTTTAAAATTCACTTGTCGTCGCTAACAAATACATTATAAAACAAAACTAAACGAAAACGAAACGAAGAGGGAGTATAATAAGGCCTATAGTAAATTTTACCGCCGACCAAGTAGAAAGAAATTGACAAAGACCAAATAAAAAAAATTGACGACGATACGTTATTAAAATCTTTAAGATCAATAAAGCATTTATTCACAAAGAAAAAGATTACGATTTAGATAGCTAAGTTTAATATTACAAAACGTATCTAAGATTTTTTGGACTGATTTTTATTACTGGTGCAGTGCGCATCTTATGATAGATAATGCAACTCTGATGGCAGGACGCAGGAGAGCAGTTCGGCTGTAGGTTATACGAGGGCGGCACTGAAAATTTCGGGAATCAAGGAAGTGACACAACATTACTATTTGAAAACGTATTTATTGTTTTTCGAAGTATTCTCCGCAAAATTCGACACATTTTCCATACGATGGAACCAATCATTGAAGCAACCATTCCATTCGGAAGTTGGGATCTCCAAAATGGCCGTTTTGTAGGCGTCCACAGTTTCTTCAGGTGATGAAAATCTCTGTCCACGCAACTTATTCTTTATTTTAGAGAAAGTATAGAAATCATTAGGGCTTAGGTCGGGGCTGTACGGCGGATGGTCTAATAATTCTATGTTTTCTTGCTCTACAAACTCTTTTGTTCTGTGTGTGGTGTGAGAACTGGCATTGTCGTGATGGAGGATGGTTGCTTCTCTTTACAGTTCAGAAACGACCTGTGGCAAACAAATGCTAGCATACCATTCTGCATTAACTGTTCTTTGTCACTCAAGAGGAATAGTCGTAACATGGGCGGTTTTGGAGACAAACGTTACCACCATTTTTTTTGCAACACTCCGTGAACGAACAATTTTTGTTGGTTTTAACTCATTTTCGAACACCCAAAATCGTGACTGGTTTTTTGTTTCGGGTTCATACGCATATATCCAAGATTCGTCACCTAATACGATGTTGTATACAGCATTTGAGGATCCTGTGTGGAATCTTTCAAAAGTTCTGAAGCAGTAGGTAACGTGAGCCGCTTTTTGCTCTTCACAGAGCAAATGCGGTATCCATCGGGAAAACAACTTTTTTACACCTAATTGTTCATGGAAGATTATTTGTTTTTGACTCATAACAATTTCTAAAGTTGCCTGAATTTGGCGGTATGTCACATATCGATCTTCCTCAATCAGCTTACGCACAGCATCAACGTTTTCTTGGGTGACTGCAGTTTTTGGACGACCTTGACGGGGATCATCACTGAGCTTGACACGTCCACGTTGATATTCAGCAAACCAGCGATAAATTGTGGTTTTGGATGGGGTTTCATCACCAAATGCAGAAATCATCCGGTCTACACACTGTCTTTGTGTTAAACCACTTGGAAAGTCATAATAAATCATTGCTCTTGAATTTTCTCGAGTCAATTCCATTTTCTCAACGACTAAACGAGTTTGACAAAACCGTGTGACAAAACCGAGAATCTTTTTTTAAATAAATAAATGGTATTGGATTTTTGAAACCAAGGAGTTTTCAATTAAAAAGATTTTAATATGACAGGAACAGTGGAAATATTCCATTCCCGATACTTTTAGTGCAGCCTAGGTAAATGTCGTTATATTACACGATAATGTTAAAAATTGAACTAATTTTTATAAAATACTTCATATACAATAAAAATATCCGGTTACAGAAAAATTTTGAGAAAAATTTCTAATGGTAGAAAAATAGGTGATGAAGCTTACAGCATTCGATATTCTTAGTTCAGTATAAAGGGTCATTAAATAAGCAACTACTTACATACTAAAAGATTAAAATAATTTCTACATGATAGGTGCATTACTTGGAGCTAAGACATAGTGGCCCTTTTTTAATAAAATTTTCGGACCGTAGTTCTTTTAATCGGTGGGCTTATTTTTTAAATTTTTCCGATAATTATAGTTTAACCATGTAAATTCAGTAACGACCTAATATTGGTTTCAAAAACTTACTAAAATATGTCGCGAGTAATGACATAAAAAGGTTTTAACCCAATCTAAGGGAGACGATTTTTTGAAGCGCCGGAGACACATACTTGCAGTCAGACAATTTTGACATAAAATTTAGACAAAAATTATGGGTATTGAAATCTACCGTGATCAGCTTATTGTATTATCGTTGTACATCATTGTAGGTAAAGCTATTTTGAATGCAAAGACATTTTTTTGAAGGTATTTTAGATATAAACCCATTGAAATTATTTCGATGCTTTTAGGTTGGGATTTAAGATGGAAGCATTGGCTACGTACACTATCTGTTTACGGCCTTATGACAATGACAATAAAGCTATAAATTTAACTCAGCAGGTATAGTGCGAAAAAGCGAATGCCATAGTAAATATGATTTAATTGACCTCACTATCGAACTTCGGGTTCTAGGTTCGAATCCCAGTCAGCAACAATGAATTTCATTATTAAAAATGTTACATCTTTGGCCTGAATATTATCCTAACTTTAATAGAAGATAGTTATTTAGATATTAGAAACAGATGCTTAAATTTAATTAATATTTATTTAGATGACGGAATAGAGTCCCTTTGGATATTTTCAGTTCCGAATTTTTATTTTCATAGAAATTTAATTATGGTCATAAAGAAATTTGGTCATTTAACGGGTTCCCGTGTACTCATTAAAGGCTGGTCTACATTTTTTCATTATTTAGTAGAGATTTAGTTACCGTAATAGAACAAGTAAGTCTCATTAGTTACTATAGTTCGGATTTGAGAATAGTAACCATAATAAGGAAAGGTAATGAGAGTATCGTGCTCGAGCACATTTCATTATTATAAAACAAATAAAGAGTCAACAATGGCCGACCGTTTCCATTATCGTTCCCTTACCCATAACTGGTTCTTTCGGTCCTCTGTCAATTATTTTCTCCCTACTCCTTTCCATTCTTTCTTACTTTTTTAGAAATACTTTACTATCATTGTTGAGCTTTTGTGGAACTCTACCTCTCCATATCATCCGTCATGCTAGTAATCGGAGAGCAGGCGACGAATTTTGGGAAGGTCCTTTTGACAAGTTGAAATTGTGAAAAATATAATTGCTTAACTTGTTTTTTTTTATCTTTTAAGTTCGTTTTTATTAAAGGAATTTAACAAAATCCAGACGCTTTTGTCGGTTATAAAGTATTACCAGACCTTTTCAAAAATATTTAATTAAAATTCCCCAAAAAATATACTTTTGGCAATCCCAAATTTTAGTCATGTATTTATTAAGTAATTTTAATAATATCTACAAATCGGCCTACAAATATAGCGGTTTTAAACAATTCCCAGACGTGAATAAAGTATATAAATGAATACGACAATAAAGTCTTATACGTAGCCATAGATGCGAGAATCTATATATTAAACTCCTCGCACTGTGATTGGTTGTTGAGGAACCGCGCGTTCCAAGTACACTTCGGGCTCTGCGTTTACAACAGATTATTTTGGAGTAGTTAATTTTTTTTCTAAAGATTGAGAATTAATACAAAATTAAAAAACAAAACACAATAATTACGCTTGCCGCATATATTATGATGTGTAAAATTCAATAAATAGTATTTATGCCTTGAAAAAAAAAGAAAAATCAAAAAAAATTCATCACAAACTAATATAACCTTGAAGTATTTAATATAATTGTGACTTATTGAAGAAAAAGCATTTTATGTTCTTGCCAG